CACGGTATCAGTTTTAAAGTCAAGTCAACCAATGAATACGAAATTACAGATAAAGGACCCTAGATCTTTCCAATTGCTTGATTTTTCTATGTGCTTTATTTAAACAATTTAAAAGTTAAAATCACTAAATTCCCGAGTAAAGGTGAAAAAAAAAAGTCAACTTTACTTTTTTTTTTTATTTAAAAATGTTAATTTTGTCAATTTTTAAATAAAAATATCAACTTTCAACTTTCAACTTTTCTATTCAAGAATGTCATCCTTCATCTTTTTCTATTTAAAAATACCAATTTTCAACTTTTTCTATTTAAGGATTAATTAAATAATGATACTAACGTGACAAATGAATTTTTTAACTGAAATATTAAAAATTTATATCCTTAAATAAAAAAAAATTGAAAGTTGACATTCTTAAATAAAAAATATTAAAAATTGATATTCTTATTTAAAATTTAATAAAATTAACATTTTTAAATAAAAAATTATAAAATTAACATCTTTTTTTTGCACCTTTACTCTTAAATTCCTAGAAAGAAATCTACAAACTTAGAATATTTAAGGCCCAGCCAAAATGATCCAAAATCCAGCTCATATCTACAAACTACTTAATAAGGGCCCATCTATCCTAACTGGCCCATTGCACCCCTCGCCTTGCCTTTAGGCTTTCAAGAAGTTGCTAACTGCTACGAACTCCGTAGTTGCAGCCTACTCAACGTTGGTGCTTCATTCATGCACTTCTCGCACTCTTTGGTTAGTTTCTACGTTCCATCCTCCTCCACCAACAACAATATGAAGATCCAGTCAATAATTTCCTCCGGCCACCCTCATCCTCCACCATCTCCTCCATTTCCTTCTCCGATCTCAACACCACCGAATTATGCATATTCGCCCCCGCCCCCCTCCGTCCCCAATCCTAATTATTTCATTTGAAAATTGAAATTCTTCCATTCATCTTATTTTTCTTCATTTTTTACAGTCTATATTTTCCTTTTTCATGATAGGAGCACAACATTTGGTTGCCGTTGCCGTAAATGTAGAAAATCGCGCCAGTTTTGTGTTCATTGAGGACTTCAGGATCGACAACAATGACTCTACAATTTAGGAGATCAGAATCGCTTTCGAGAATCTTGAAGACCACCTTGATTTTTTTCATGTGAACTTTGTTTTAATCATTTTTGTCTACTTTGAGTTTGCTTGCGGTTTTACGTTTGGTTTTTTTTTTTTTTTTTCATTTGGTTCTGTTTGATTGATGAAAAAATGAAGTGAAATCAGTTTGCTTAATTTTGAAAAGTAAAAATAAACACGCATTGGCGCGGATATTTATAATATTTTTTTCCTTCTAGTTGAAGTTTTAAATTATGAAGATAGTGCATAAAGATTTTAGTTGCTGTTTCTTTTGTTTCATTCATTTAGAGTGACATTTTCTTAGCTAGCTGGATAATAGCAATTAACTTATTATTAAAGAGTCGCAGGGAGATGAAGGTTCTAAAGCTCTGAATTGAGCATTCTTAAGGACATATAGAGATTGCAGAGGTTAGCATAATTAAAATTGAACAAGATTGTATTGAATTCGTAGCAATGGTACAAATTTTGGAATCAAAGAAATGACTAGGAGTTTAGTTGCAAGAGTAAGCTATTTTGGATGTTGTGTGTAATGTGTATGTATAGTTAGTGGGCTGCATTGTGGTTCAATATTAGGTTCAGGCTAAATTTATTAATTCACTCTTAAGTTGATTTAATTATTGTACTTAATTCTAAATGAATATTGATGAGCTAAATTTATATACATATTAATAAGGAATTTTTACTTTGATTTTATTGATATTTGGATGAATTTTATAAGATTTTATTTGATTTTACATGGTTTTCATTCTTTGTGTAGGAAAGGATTTAATTGGAAGAAATCCTACTTTTTAGAAGTAAATTGAAGAGATCAGAGACTTGAGGATCAACTTGTGCAGAATCCAAAAATCAGGAACCAAATCTGCTATTTTACCATTGAAGAAATTGCAAAAGGAAGGTAGAAACCCGACACGGGTGTAGTGTCGACACATTATGGGAGTGTCGACACCATACGCTAAACGTCTAGAATCAAATTCTGTTTCTTATTTTGTGTCAACACGTAATCCGAAGTGTCAGCAACACGCGTTCAACATCTAAAATTCAGTTTCTTATTTCTATTTCAAGTCCTACTTCTATTTCAATTAGGGTTTCTAAAATCCCATAAATACCCATCTAAATTCAGAATGAGGAGAGCTTGGTGGAGGCTGATGTCAGCCCTCTTTTGGGTACTCTTGGAGGTCAAGGTAGAGGATCTATCAAGGAGAAAATCAAGGATTTCAATTACCTCAAATTAGGTTTTGTTTTTCCTTAGACATTCTTATGTTCATAACTTTGATTTCATATTTTATTTTTTTAATTATGAACTGATTTATTTTATTAAAGCTATGATGTAGCCTAATCAATTTAATATAGATTTTGTGATTTTATACTTTCAATTAAAGTTATTCGCGTGAGGAATTTATATTATTGAACTTAATACATTGGAAGTCTGATCACTTTTCAATTGATTTAGTGATTTATGCATGAACTTCAGAAAGAATTGTATAGATTAGACCACTAATAATATAAACCGTGTGCTAGACTATGAGACCGAGAGGTAATTAGCTCACTTGTGATAGTGGAGGAAGAGAAAAGAGTTAGGAGCTCTCCCTTCTTAAGCTAGAGGTTTTCATAGAATTTAATGCTCATTAGTTGGTTTAAAATTACATAGAGATATGATTAATTTAACAAACTAGTGAAGGATTAACTTGACTTAAGAAAATTAGTTAATTAATTTAGGGAAATCCGCCATCACATGCAATAACACTCAATAAATTGGTTTTGAAAGTATATTAATCCAAAATTTATATGGATTGATTATGGTGAAATCAATGCCTTAGTACCTCCTATCTTGGTTAGGTTTATTTGTTATTTTCTTTTTATTATTTTTAATTAAAGTTTCTTTCTATTTGATTGTTCAAATAAATTTAGATTAATTATTTTGGTACTTAGTTAGACACAATCCTCGTGGGTTCGACACTCTTCTCATCATTATATTACTTGGAGCGACTAGTATACTTGTTAGGGTGATTTTAGTGCATCAAGTTTTTGGCGTCGCTGCCGGGGATTGTTGATTTAATTAATATCGAAGTTGGTTAATTCTAGATTTAATTTGAACGTTTTCTTTTCTTTTATTTCTTTACTTTGATTTTTTTTTTCTGTTTTCTTTATTTTTGTTTTTACAGGTCTAACTATGGATCCAGTTGTCTTAAACACCGATGTGGATTATCAATGGCTTGCACCAAAGATGAGGGCACAAGTTGAAGCAGTAACTATCTTGCTAGCAGAAATTGACGATGATGAACTTGAACGATTTCAAGCAGTCATTGAAAGGATCAAATTAAAGAAGGCTATAGTAGAACAATTAAATATCACTTGTCAATGGTGTGGATGTGACCACTTTAGTTCTGATTGTTATTTTAAACGATCTAACAAGTGTGTTGATTTTTCTGGTGATTTTCATAGCCTACAGTATAATTCTTATCCCAATACATGCAATGTTTATCCAAACACCTCATGGAATAATGAAGACATATTGGAGCCACAATCAAGGTTTCAAGCTCAAGAAGAGGAGTTGTGTTTGGATAAAAACTTAGAAACTCAATCAAGTCATTTGCTCAAATTAGTTGCTGAAGAGATACAAGGTGAGTTACCTAGTGCAACAATGAAAAATCAAGAAGAAGAGGTAGACACTTTACTCTTAGAGATTGAAGGACAACTTGGAAAAGTAGAAATTATGCCTGCAGAAACTAAACAAGAGGATGTCCCTAAGAGGAAGAGGAAAAAACTCAAGTATCATTTGAAGTGTTCAATGGGGAGTCTCCTTTAACCAAATCTGATTTTAATGATTATTTTGTTATTGATATGGTTGACGAGATTTTGCAGAAAAACACTTATGAGGATCCATTTGAGATTTACTTTATTCAAGTAAAAGACTCAATCAAAGAATACATAAATTGCTTAAACACATCATCTTTCTTGGAATCAAAGGGGGCACTCCTAGAAGAATTGGGAAGGCACATCTGCTGGCCTAAACCCAAACCACCTCAAAATAGTCATTGGAGAAAATCTTATGGTGGATTCAACTTAAGGGCAAGAAAGCCAAGATTTAGGAAAACGAGAGGACATACCCTACGACCTGATCCAAAACCACCTTGGAGTGGTAGAAAGTCTAGCTAATGACTATAAATTCAGCGCTTCTTGGGAGGCAACCCAAGCATAAAATTTTCTTTTCTTTTATTTTTCTTTTATAGTTCAGATTTATTTTTTTTTCTTTTTCTCTTTATGGCCTAGGTTAATGCATAAATTGTTGTTCTTTGATTTTGGCCAGGTCATTGAACAAGTTTGGGGGACAAGATTATGGAAATTCACATGTTAGAAGTCTCCTCTAAATGAAGACAACTCAACTTTAAAACTTCAATTTTAAGTCTTCAAGTGCAAAACTTGGGAAGTTTCTCTTTTCTCTTACTTTTATTTTACATTGAGGACAATGTTTGATTTAAGTTTGGGGGAGAGAATAACTTTTAGGCATCCATTCTTACATTAGTTGCATTCATATTTGCATGATATACCTTTTTTTTTAAGAAATTAGGGACTTTTTTTTTTTTTTTGGAATTGGTCCAATTAGTATCAAGGAATTGAATATTCTTGAGTTAGAGCTTTTAAAATCTTTTAATCTTAGAGAAGATACAAATTTGAAAAATAACACCATTGTGATGAAGTTTAAGTTCATGAGTATTATATTCTATTTAAGCACAAGTTTTTAGTGAGAAGTTTAGAGAGAAGACTTGGTAGCATCTAAAAAGCACCAAAAAAAAAAAACAGGAAAAAAAAAAAAAGAAAGCCAACACACAAAAGAGTTTATTAATTTCTACTCCAATGTTTCTAGTTGCTTAGTAACTGGAGGTTAAGCATGAAACCCATGTCAATTCTCACGTTAAACAGCAACTTGAAATATGAGTATGCAAAGCACTTTGAGTTTATGACTTGTTGAGTAATTGGGTGCTTTCATCACAAATGTTAGTATTTGCGTCAAAAGATAAGTGATAACTTAGGGAAGAATGTGTTGTATGGCTGAAAAAAAAAAAAAGGGAGAAGAAGAGAAGTCGAATGTTTCGTGGCCTTTGTTACTTGAGTAAGTATGTTCTTAGGGGTGTCTCTTCACCTAATGCCCTAAAGCCAACTGGTTTGGGAGTCATTGACAAAAAGCTCGTTACATGGATAACTTAGAAAGCCTAAAGAAACTCGACCTATGAAAAAAAAATGAGGGAAAAAAAAAAGATAATAATAAGTGCTAAGGTGTGAAGGTCTAAACTTGAGACTTCTTACTATGAATTTCCACACACACACTAAGTGCTCATGGGCTAAATCTTTTAACAAGTGGTGTGAAGACTAAGATGAAATATTTTACTTTAAGTGAGCATATGAGAACTTTTGAATATTTGAGACTTTGCCTCTAATTGAACTTTAATTCCTAAATTTTCTTTGCATGGATATCATGTAGTTACATTCTTGCATTAGGATTTTGTGGGTAGATCCATTGTAAACCCTCACGAGACACAACTCGTCCACTAGGGTGACCTAGGGGTTTAAAGGCTTGTTGCACATGTTAAGTGCAATCGTGATTCCTACGAAAGTGAGTTAGGTTTTATTTTTGTTTTTTTTATCTTTTTATTTTACTCGAGGA